CTGAGTGGAAATTCTACAACTAGAAGGAAAGAGAAAAAGCACACTGAGGCTCAGAGGAGGTGCGGAAGTAAAGTACAGAGGTACAGAGGCGCACGTGGAAAGGGCTGGCAGCTGAGGACGCGGCGCACATGGAAAGGGCTGGCAGCTGAGGACATGGTTGTCTTTTTCAATCGGGAGGGAGTCTCAAGCTCCCGACTGCTCTGAACTCCAGTTCCAGGCGAGTCTCTGGGGACCCAGACTCATACGGGGAGAAACTGGACTGTCTGGCAGCGGGCAGAACTCGAGGGCGGCTTTCTCTCAGAGGTGCTTGCAGTGATTACCAGGACACTGAGAAGCGGGGCCTCTTAGGGCAGGTCTGAGGAGCAGCCATAGCTCTTTGCTCCACCCTGTTGATTCCCTGAGACTCCGCCCCACCCAAGCTGTGCGCAGAGGCTTTTGCATATGAAAGGACTGGCCCTTTGCAATCTAAAATTACCTGACAAACTACAGCTGGGTCAGAGAAACCCAGAACATCCAAAAGAAGGCCCAAGGCCCCACAGCAGCTTGCACTGCTTCACAGCTGGGCTCCTGCTGGGTAGCCTCAGGCAGAGGCTAAATTAGCACCTCCTTAGAAATCCAAGAGCCAGTGTACCCAGTGGTCAGAGTGGGACCATCCAGATTACAACTCCTCAGATCCATAAGGGACACACTCAGGGGGAAGACTCAGTGAGCACCAAAGCCCCACTGAAGCAAGTCTTGCCTCAGAAGGGTGTCTCCAGCACAGAAGTTCTCCCACCGTAGACGCAGCTCATTCTCATAGCCAATTGCCCTGGAGGTCAATTCCTCCCAGTGATACCTACAACAATCAAGGCTTAACTACAACAAGACTGTGCACACAGCCCACAAAGGGGTGCACCAAGAGTGTCCACCTCCGATAATTGGGGAGGCTGACCCACTGGGCCCTACAGGACACCTAGCACACAAAGCCACTCTATCAACACAGGGAAGCAGCCAAAATGCGGAGACAAAGAAACAGGTCACAAATGACAGAAATGGAGGAAAGCAAACTACTGGATATAGAGTTCAAAACCACACTTATAAGGTTTTTCAAGAATTTTCTAGAAACCGCCAATAAATTTAGTAAGACCCTCAATAAGTCTAGTGAGACCGCCAATAAATTTAGTGAGACCCTCAAGAAATCTAGTGAGACCCTCGAGGACATGAAAAAGGACCAACTAGAAATTAAGCATACACTGACTGAAATAAAGAATATTATACAGAGTTCCAACAGCAGACCAGAGGAGTGCAAGAATCAAGTCAAAGATTTGAAATACAAAGAAGCAAAAAACACCCAACCGGAAAAGCAAAATGAAAAAAGAATCCAAAAATATGAAGATAGTGTAAGGAGCCTCTGAGACAACTTTAAGCGTACCAACATCCGAATTATAGGGGTTCCAGAAGAAGAGAGAGAGCAAGATATTGAAAACCTATTTGAAGAAATAATGACAGAAAACTTCCCCTACCTGGTGAAAGAAATAGACTTACAAGTCCAGGAAGCACAGAGAACCCCAAACAAAAG